CGTGGGAAGAACGCCCTGTGTCTTTAATGTGCTGTTTATGTTGAAGCTTTAGATTTTATAGATCTAGAAAGTTCTTAGACAAATGCTATATTTTGTCAGATGCCCGTGCCCCCAGTATTCTAGGACATAATACTGTCTGCAGAGTAACAGTGATGTGCAGTAACAGGAATGACTATTTGAAGTTGTTTTGGGAGTTGTTTTCCAACATCTTATAGTAGAGGACTCATCGTAAGTTCAGTTTCGACAGTGTCAAAACCTATTAATTTATTCGTCTTTTAACCTGTGCAAATCATTTCTTTCTTTTTGCGTAGGGAGCTGGAGCACACTTTAGGCGGTGGCAGGGTTCACTGGCTCCATCAAACACTAACTCCTGTTCTACTGTTTGACTTCAAATTACAATAAAAAAAATTATAAAATTTGAAAAAAAATTGGACAATTATTTATATGCAAAAAATCATATCAATGGCAGCGCCTAAACAAACTTTTTTTTCCAAAATTTAGTAATAAGTAATAAAATTGGTAATACTAAGTAAAAAGTAATTAAAAAATTGTTGGTTTTGTTTGCCTCAGGTGTGAATAAATGTCTTGGCAGTTTCCCTAAAGTCAGTCAGAGGAAACTAATTGTACTAAGCACACTGTGTGTTGGAGACTCATCAAGTCAGTAACATATCCTGAACTCTTCACAGCCAAGTCTCAGGGCAGCCTGGATCCTGGGCAGCTTTCATTTTACTGTTTAATATTTTTCATCTATAGGATGCACTATAATAAATGACGTATTTTACTGCCCTATATCAAATGTTACAGTGCATTAACCAATGAAGGAAATTGACTGGAAAAAACAAGGAAAAGGTTTCAGTGTTTTTGTTTTTCCACTCATTTTTTTTTTCTATTTTTGTGTTGTGGTCTCACTCACTTGATGGAACTGCTTCCCGGCGGTAACATATATCATCAGATCCATTAGTGTCACTGATGAGCCATGCAGGCTATTCCATCAACAGACTGGACCAGTCCTTTTTTTCATTTGGTTCAGAAACATGTCATATGAGGCAGATTATCAAACAAATTAAATAAAAAACAAAGGCAGACACACAGAACAGGATATTTGATAAAAACTGTAAAGATTTCTCTGACGCTCCTCGTGGTCTTGGATTATTCCTCTCATCGAGTCTGCTTCTGTGGCTGTGCATGCGGACTCAGTGGAAGAAGTGACGCTGTGTGATGAATCAATATATCTACCCATGTTAGTGGGCCGAGTGCTCACCATACGGGATGAAAGCTTTTACAAAGCTTTTTGTGGAGAAATGAGATGATGCCTAAACAGCCTGGGGAGAGTAGAATCACTCAGAACAATGCTGTAATTGAGGATCAGTGGGATGGGGTGTGGTGTCGGGGTTGGTGGTGGTGGTGGTTGAAGGGGGGGCGGGGGGTGTTCTCCCTGCCTGTGTGGCTTTTCCATGGGCCTGGGCATCTCACTGATGTCCACTGGCCTGAAGACCCCACAGCAGAGGCATTTTCCCCGACAGGCATGGATGTGACCTCATTTATTCAACTGGGCCCCAGAATACCCCACCTCCCACCCCCAGCCTCTGACCACTCCACATGCATGCACAAATGGTCACACACACACACACACAAAATCACACAGTGCATTTGTGTGTTTTTGTGTTTTCCACCGCGGCTGCGGCACTTGTGCATGGTCAGCTCCCACCATGACTCACAGACAGATCACGGCCTGAGTCTGAAAGGCCATTTGACCCATAACATGCTCTGTAGAGGTCTGACGAAGGAGAGTAATGCAGGAGAAGGGAGGGGCGGTAGACTGTGAGTCAGGAGGAAATGAATCAAAGGAGCCAAAATATTTAAGCAGTAGTTGTTTGGGTTCTTCGTGATCTGTTTTTCTTATACTATAAGAGACACTGGCAAAAGGCAAACAAAGAAGTGAATGTGTGTGGGATACACATTGAAATATTAAAACCCAGACACAGTGATTAAAAACTGCTAAATAATAATAGAAGTAGTCGTAAAAAGTAGTAGTAGTATAATATTTTATAGCTACAACATGCATTTTTAATTTATAATATTTAAAATTTCCATATTTAAACAATAACTCATTTTTAACTTTATGGTAAAGTTGTATTTAATGACAAGGACTGGCATAGTGACTAGAGGATGATGAGCAAGGAATAGCTATAAGATATAATGGATATAAAAATAGATTTAAAAAAAATAATGCTGCTAATCTATTTATTTTTAATAAAATGACTAAAAAGAATAAAAATAATAAAATTTAAATTAACCATAAAAATATGGACTGTCTTTTTTTTTTTTAAGATCCCCAAAAAGTTATGTAGGAAGAGAGGTGGTTTCTCTCAGGTGTTGAAATTTCATTCTAGCTGTTGCCACAAAAAATATTTGCAGCTTCAGTTTCACTCATCACTTTATCTGTGCTTCTATAAATCCTTAAATTTAAAAGATTCAGTGAGGGATGAATATATTTCTACTTTTAACCACCAGCTTGTTTGTGCACAGCACCATGGGTCGATGGATCAGTGTGCCTCCCACTCTACTCCCACTGCTCAGTGTACAGTACGTCCACACATTCTGGCCTCCCGCCCAGTCTGTGTGCAGCAGCATCCTCTAAGATTGCCTCTCTGCAGACTTCACAAACTGGGGTGGTTTCACTGTACAATAGGGTGTACTGTATTTTCTCCTGTATTTTTCAACTTCTCTCACTGTAGTAGTTACTGTAGTGTCTTGACTGTGTATGTGTGTGTTATTCCCTCTACCCTGAAGGTAGATGGTGGTGTGCAGCTGCAGCAGAGCTTCTCCCCTGCAGCGATCAATACTTTTTTGACTGTAGACGCGTGTTGTTCTCAGAGTCCTGCTGTGCAACAACAACAGTCAGCTCAATAAAATCAACCAAAGCTCATTGACCCCACTGTAGTCACAGTAACCTGGATCATGTGATTATAGGCCACTCACAGCCTGCGGCCCAAAAAAAGCAGAAGAGTTGTTTTGCTCTCCTCCCTTGAGGCACATTCATCCTTTCTATTGATCAGAGAGCAGACTGAAAGCTACTGAATACAAGACTCCCTACTAGGCAAGGTCAGATAAAGCCCAGAATGCCTTTCAAATCTGAGGCTTAGATTTGACTGTGCCTGAGTTACAAAAATGTGGAAGTTACTATACTTACTATGTGGAGAATACTATACTTAATCTACTTTCTGTATCATAAAACTTCCCTGTCTCCTTATGACAGCGTTTCAGTTCTCATGAACATACGGGTCAACCGATCAATAAGTGTGATTTCTCCTGTCTGCAGATGGCAGATTGCACCATATGCCTCGGTCAGTCGGAGCAGATGTCAGCAGCTCTACAACACCTCTGCCCGGAGAGCGCAAGTCATCTGCCCCCATCCACTCCAGCCAGCCGGTGCTCTTCACCTTTGACGTGCCTGTGCGCCACTCGCACCACGGCTCCTTATCCAACAGTGCACCACAGGACTACCTCCTTCTCCACCAGTGCATGAGCAGGAAGACTGAGAGTGCAAGGTAAAGGTCGGGACCCCAGACGTCCTGTGTCAGTTTCCTGTTATGCATAAATGCAGGTCAACGTACAGGTTTATGGCACTTCCTCAGTTGAGAAGCCCCCCAACCCCTAAGGGTTTCAACTACTCTGTGTCTGTGTGCGTGTGTGTTACATAACAACTAACCTTTTGAAAACTTAAAATTTCACTATAAATGTAAAATTTGTATACATTATGTATTTATAACTCTGTTTGAGATAAGGAACCACTTCCAAAAAGAAGAGAAAAAAATGTGAACAAAAGTGTTGAAACTTTTGTTCTTTAAACTTTCTTTTAATTTTTTTTTTACAATAATAAACCTTCATCCCTGTTAATTCTTTTCTTACATATTTTATGGCAAAAATGGCATAAAGCCCAATAAAGAACATGTTAACAAGATCATCATATTTAAGCTTAGCTAATATGACTCATATTGGCTTGGATGTAGACAGACTAGGAGCTGTTTGTTTGTAACACTCAGGCCCTCTATTAGCATTCACCTCACCTCCAGCTCCTGTCATGCCCACCACCAGGAATCAAAAAGCTGTTGCTATATCGAAGTCATTCAGCAGACAGGTGGTACAGTAGAAGATCAATGAGGCTGAGGCTGTAATTCATCACTCCTATAGGATTGGACTGGCCTGTGATAGAACTGCCCCATTCAGCCGCTAGACCCCAGTGAAACATGGGAAATCAAAGCTTGCAGTCCATCAACATGCAGATTTTTTCTATCACTGCCCTCAACAGCTGCTGGTCCATGTCTGAGAATATTGAGACTAGCATTTCAGGATGGTCCGTGATACTGGGCAGATCAAGAAGTGGTATGATTTAATCCATGTGAAAGGTCCACACTTGGCCTGAGTGTTGCAGCAAAAAAAACATGGATTGATTATTGAAATTCTGAGGGTACAGCAAAATGCTCTGTCAATATTCATCATGTTACCCTGATGCATTATTCATGTCAATCTGATACATTTCTAATTAAGACACATGACATGGCTGTAGTGCGAAGCAATGCATATTCATAAAGTCTAAGAAACAATTAGTGCAGGCACCAAGAACTGAATCATTGATTTTCTTTTTTCTTTTTTTTTCTTGATCTCGGAGCCATCAGCCAAGTCGGCCCATTGCTGGGGTAAATGAGCAGAAATGTCTAAGCTGTGGGGTTAGTGGTACTTCTGAAGGTCGAGACACACAGACAAGGCAGAATAAATGAGGCGTGTCCCTGGGGACAGTCCTGGAGGTTTTTAAAGTCCCTGTAATGTCAGCATTCAAATACGGTTGCCCTCAGTCTGTCAACTGTCTGGAACCTTGTAAACCGAACAAGCTGGTTCCAAAGGTAATCAAGAACCGATGCAGACCTCACACGTGCAGTGTTGTAATTAAAAATGGTGGGAGTTTAACATCGGAGAGCTATACCACCATCTAGTGGTCATTTGGGTACTCTCACTGATATTATTATAAATTGCAACACACCCTCATTACACTTAACGTTGCTCAATACACAGACAGTTCACGTGTTGTTTAGACACTTCAGGAACTTATAAACCAACCCAACAGACCAACGTCAATGGTTTTGTCTCATCTCAAATAATGAAAACATAAGGTAAAGATTGACTTGATTGTATTATTGTGTCTGTATTTTCAGGAGTGCCAGTTTCTCCCAGGCCACACGAAGCAGTCTGTTTATGGGCAGCGACTCTGCAGTGCAGAAACTCCCTCATGGCTTTTCCCACTGTCTTAACGGCATGGGCGCCCAGCTGCATGGTTTCTCTAGTCTGCCCAAACCCGGAAAACACCAGTTACCATTCCATGACGACTCAGCCCAGGAGGCCTGTTACGTCCTTCCGCGGGGATTCAGCCCAGAGGCGCCGTCATACAGTGGCATAGGTGACACTGACCTGGAAAATGAGGAAGTTTACACTTTCAAAACACCCTGCAACACCCTCGCCACGATGCACAGCAACGAGCGTGTGACGGACAACTATGACCTCCCCACACCACCTGGCTCCTTCTACCAGATCCCACGGACATTTGACAAGAATCACAATTCTTTAACGCCGTCTAGCTCCGAGTCCTCCTGTGCTCCGCCTCCCAGGCCGCCTAAACCTAACCAGGGGTCAGAGGGCAGGTGGGGGAGTCCCAAGTCAGTAGGAAGTCAGAACGGAGAGGTGACGTCCGCTGTGTCAGTTATCCCACGCAGGAATACTCTTCCTGCTGTTGAGAACATCAGGCTACACCGAGGTACGCTGTTCCTGCTGCTGCAGACACATCTTTTGAAATCACTCACTTCACCTGTTTCCTGTTTTCAAATGCAACTCCAGCTCCATCACTTCATCCACTTGTGGTTTTGCGGCGACTACTCACTTCCTTTTTCCTCCCCTACGTTCTCCTTCTCTTTTCCTTTTCCGCTGTCTCTCTTGTACTGACCACCAGTTGAACAGAGGCAGACGGGGGCAGATATGAACATACTCTGTGCAGTGGAGGGACTAATGAAATTGAAACCTTTGTAGCCTTCTCCTGAATGTCTGGTTCCAGGCTGATGAGCACTGAAAAAACACGTGCATGGCCTCTTAGTATCCTGTGTTCTCTGCTTTGTAAAGTTCACTCTCAGGCCTCATTCAGCCAGAGGCAGTGATTGACCTCAGGCTTCTGTTAGTGAAACTACAGGCTGTTCACACACCTGTGCTGCAAAGATGATAACGGCCCAGCGATGCAGTTAATGAAATGTCAGTCAAGTTTGGGTTTTTTCCTTTTTAAAATCTCATTGGAATTTTTTTTTTCGCTCTCTCTTACAGAGGGCGAAAAAAACATACTTTTTTTCTTTCAGAAGGTATTACACTGGCAAATATTGATTTTTTTTTTCTCCTTTCCATTTTTACAGGCTCCTCCTTTGAAACTAACAGTCATCACCGTCCTATTCATTTCAACAACTCAGGCCAGTCTGTGGAGTCTGTCAACGACGGATTCAGCTCCTATTTGGTGAGTTGCTGTCTGTATGTTACTGAACTGTGCTTTTTAATAGATACTGGAATTATAACAACAGAGACATATAAAATAAACTAAATCACCAACAAAACTAACTGTTAAACTAATTGTTAGACAAAGACATATGAAAAAATATAAACATAATATATTAAATAACAAAATGTTATTTTTGTGTTGTGCTGCTTTTATTTATTTTTTAATCACAAAAATAACACAAAACACCACTAAACCATGTGTCATAGTAGATCTCACTACTGTCTTAAATTTTTCATCTTTTGCTGCTATTCCTCCGTCCCCCCTGACACTTGTCCCCATCATCCATCCTACCTTGCCACCCTTTTCCTCCTACATAATCTGTTGACCTATCCATCACCATAGCAGACAATAAAGGACTCAGAGCTTATCCCTGGTATAACCCAGACTCTATGTTGAACCCATCTGCTCACCTAACTACTTCTTGCTGGCCGTATATATGTCCTGCACCACCCTCACATTCTTCTCTGCCGCTCTATTGTCACATGCAGTGCCACAGCTCCGTTTTACTTGTTTTTTCTGGTGGCTGCTTTATTGTATTTAAATTATCTGTATTTTTGTAATAGTTTAAATTTTCTACAAACATCATGTTAAAAAACTTTCATCAGGAAACAGCATAAACCTAAAGCACCAATGCTTTTTTTAAAAAAAGGATATTTTAAACAAACATCTGAAACATTTTGTTTGGTGCCGTAGTATTATTTTCCATGTTTGTACTCTGAGAGTTTACTACACGTGCCCAATGTGTCTTTTCACACCAGAGATCCAAAACCCCTCTGACTCGCTCAGACAGCGGCAACTCTGATGACAACTATGTTCCCATGAATCCCGGCTCCTCACCGCTCAGCGCTGCTCTGGCTGACAGTCCTAAAAATATCTATATTCCCATGAGCCCAGGGCCACATCACTTTGATTTCCCACAATTCGCTGCAACATTACCTGCCCGTAAGGGAAGCAGCGCCTCCATGTGTCAAAGGCCCGGTCGTCTCAGTGATGTCACACCGCCTCCTATCAACCGCAACCTCAAACCTAACAGGAAATGTAAGTTTTTGAAGCTTGGTTGTCACTCTGCAAAAGTCTGAGTTGTTATTGTGAAATCAAATCTGTGGTGTCTCACAGGCAGAAAGTTTCGGGTTTGAGTCCAGTTTTATTCAGAAATCTTTCTGTGCTGGACACATTGTGAGTGCATGTGATGATGCAGAAGGTGGATAAAGAACAGTAGAAGGAAAAACACACTGATCCTGTTAAGGCTGGTAAATCCTTGCCTCCTTATTTCTAGCAAGGATTCTTACCAGTCTTAAAAGTTCATTACTTATCCTTACTCTTGTACTTGGACATGTGCTCTTAGCATGTGCTTGGATAATCCAAGAGCTTTTTAGGAATAGAGCCAGCAGTCCCAAGTCCAACTGCAGCACTATTGTTGTAATACAATTGGTAATATAGGTGTTCCAAGCAGAACAGACATTAATTAGTTCCTGGACTGTGGGTTCAAAGCATTTCTTCCAGTCCGAAGTATTTGTGTTATGTACTGACATACATAATATATTTGACTACTTATTTAATCTACTTTTTTATGATTCCCTGTTTTTTTTAGGTTTATATACATTTGAATAGTTGCAGTTGTGATGATTTGTCATTCTCAAAGAGAAACTTACCATAAAAAAGAGTCGGAGCATAGTGGATGGATGGATTTATTTTTGCTTGCATCTACTGTATCTGTACTCTTGATTGTTATTTGCACTACAAAACAGTCATGTTGTGTCTGTGTGTTTTTGTGTCTGCTGTTGTTCTCTGCAGCCAAGCCAACACCACTTGATTTGAAGAACAATGGGATTATTGACGAGCTGCCATTCAAGAGTCCAGTCACCATGTCCTGGATTCGTCCCATGTGAGTCTGATATCAGTCATTTACGCTAAATTACTTTATGACGCACTCACAAGTGTGATAGTACACACTGGTGCTGTTTTCGCTGCTGTCTAAGGTCAAAAGGTAAAACACTCCATGGGTTGTGTTTTCTTTTTTTGTTTTTTTTTGCTCCAGGGCTGCGGTGAACTCCATGTCCTCCCAGCACTGTCGACCCATCTCCACACAAAGCATCACCAGCACCGACTCTGCAGACAGCGAGGAGAATTATGTGGCTATGGTGAGACCTAATTGTTGTAATGAATGGCCTGTTTGTAAGCAACAACAAAGCACTGAACACTGTGTGACAGAACCTCTCCTTCTTATACCATCAGCAGAATCCATCATCTACCTCTCCAGCAATGAGCGGCACCAGCAGCCCAGCGCAGAGAAAGTGTGGCAACGTGGACTACTTAGCACTGGACTTCCAGCCCGGCTCACCCAGCCCACACAGAAAAGTAAACAGATTATTTTTCTAGGTTTAAAGCCACAGTAGTCAGGATTATTGGGATAACAGTGGATTGTTGGGGTTCTTAATCACAGCACTTGTACTGTACGTTGGAGGCAGATCAGGTGATACAGAGCAGAGGCAAGCACAACTGCATCAAAGGTTGACGTGTGTGACCTCTGTCACATTTAAAAATTAGAGTGACAACTGATTTGATTCCCTTTTGTTGCTGACAGAAAACCACTGAACAACACATTTTGTACGCATGTGTTTCAGGTCATTATGAGCAGAAACGTGCAGCTTACTCATGCATTAAAACAACAACTGCTTTATTCTAAACCTTGGAGTGACTCTTTTGTCCCTTTGGACATTTCGTACCTGAGGGTGTTACCTCATCCGCTTTTTATTTAGTCAATATTGTCTTAAGACTGACTATTGTGTCTGTAGTTGTCTGTAACTTCTTTTACATGTCAGAAACCACAATGGTACAGTAGTTACAGGGCCACAGCCCCACATAGTGGTCATAAGGAGAGCTACAAATTTATATTGATTCGTGTTTACTGTTGGCAAACGTTTTTACTGCGATGTTGTCATAGTTTTAACCGAGATGACTTGGAAATAATCAGTTGTTTTTATTAGAAATTTATCTTCAACATTTTTCGCTTTAATGTTAGCAATACTGATCACTGTTTTTTGTAGTGGCTAATGCAGCTACATTAGCTACTATATTTATAATTGTTTAAAAAATTTTTTTTTTCATGATGATGTCCTACTGCACCTTTCATTTGTTCAGTGATAAATGTCTTTATTTTTCTCTGAAGTACTCCATGCAGCCTGATTTCACTTCCATCTTATTTGTCATCCCACAGCCGTCCACATCCTCCGTGGCCTCTGATGAGAAGGTGGACTATGTCCAAGTGGACAAGGAGAAGACACAGGCGCTGCAGAGCACCATGCAGGAATGGACTGATGTGCGGCAGTCAACTGAACCGAGCAAGGGGGTCAAGTCCTGACACTGTCCTATACCAATTCAATAACCAATCATCACACAGATAATCTCCAGTCTGTGAATACAGGTCAAAACATTTGGACAAAAAGCCATAACTAACTCCTATGCCCTCGAGCATTACCATTAAAGTGCACTGTTAACAGATTATCAAGCCATGCAGGTGAAGTGCCGAAGCTCCTCACACCGACTGTTAGAACAGTGCATTGAAAACACTGTCCAGGTCCATCACTCTTTCTTATCAGTCAACCCTTTACCAGTTGATACCTGTGCATCGACGCTGCACCACCTGCCTCGTCTGTGACAGAGCAAGTCACTCATCCAACTGCTGCTGTTTCACACAGTTACTGGGAGAAAACTATGGCACTATACTGTAAGAATGCACTCCCCAATATTAGGAAAACCAGGATGCACTCCAGGCTTCCTCTCTCTTTTCACTTCAATATGTCCCTTTGTGCTGAGTCTTGCAGAAGCAGCAAAGAGATTAATTTCACTGCGGGCAATCATTTCAGCTTCGCAGTGCATGTCTGCTAAGAGACCGAGGAGGTGGAACAGGGGGAGAGAGAGAGAGAAACAGGGTTCATGTCAGAAGCTAAATGTTAACAGTGCACGACTGTGTCACTTAAGGATGAGCCCATTATGTATTTAACAGCTGTCAGCTGCATGACAGACATCTTTATTTCCCAAGTACAGTAGGTACACTGTCTGTAAATGTACAGGATCAAAAACCAGGAAATGTCTTGTGTGTCTTTTTAAGGTGGAATGCTAAATCACTCCAGGTGACATTCTGTTACATTTCATCTTTAAGTCTCAGTAATCCACTAAAAGGATCAGGGTGTCTCCCTCTCCACACCATAAATAAAAGCTAGAGAAGGAAGTAAATCACACAAAATGTTTTTCCAGAATCCACCGCTCTTTGATTTCCATCTCTGGGCTCTGATATACCACACACTACACTGCTCCGTCTCTAAGCAGTAATTGTTTCCTCTGTGTAAATTATTAATAGAACGACATATTTGCAGCACGTCTCGTTGACTGTTTGATGCACTCGTATGAGGCTAAACAACTGCACTGCAGTAACACAACACTGCTGTTCTTGCAGGCCTGCCTGCCGCAATGAAGATTTGCCAGTGATAAATATAGAGCATCGTAGACCAGAGGAGGAACGATGCTCCTGTTACTTCCTCAATGCCTCAGTTAGTGTGGTTTGCCTTATACTTTGTTGAAGAAATCTTATTATCTGCCATACTATTTGACAAAGAGCCATATTAAATATTTCACTTTTTTTGGAAATAATTTTAAGTCCAAATATTTCATTGTGGGCTGGAACCACTAGAAGGTGAATCTGACCAGTGTGGCCAAGCTAAGTGCTAAAAGCTATTGTGGATTTTTTTCTTCTGAACTCGCAGCTTTATCTTTTTACTGTTTTTTTTTTTTTTTTTTTGTTTTTTTTTACTGCTTTTTAATCTTTCTGTGCTATTTCTCTGAACAGGTAAAAGCAGGTTATCATCCTAAGAAACTGATCAGTCCAAATGAAACGAAGTCCGTTGTTGTATATCTGCACCCACTGGCCACTTGGATTAGGTACTGTATATCTTAGTTATCTTAGTCCCAGTTAGAGACACTTCTGTCTTCAGAAATGCCTTAAGATGCTTTGTTGTCCAAAGTAACTCTTGTTATGGCTGCTCTTCGTTCAGTGCCCCCCTAAGGTTGCACCAAGTTGCAATGTAACGAGGAAAAACAGGACAGTTAAAAACAGGAGAAATTATGAAAAAGAAATCACAGGAAAAAAAATGTGTCTAAAGAAACAAGGAAGTGAATAAAAAATAAACAGACAACAAAATTAGGGAAATAACTCTTCTACAGTTTTGGTGCTAATTGTGAGCTAAATGCCCAGTAAATCAGCAGGTTTTGAAAATACTTACAGCTGCTCATCTGACTTTAACATTAAAACTATATAAACCCCCCTTTCCTTCTCATTCCATGAAAATGATGTGCTCCGGGTTTTTGACCTCGTCCACATGCCTTATTGCACTGAGTTTCTGCTGCATTACAGCAGGTGTACCTAATGAATTGGTCAGTGAGCGTGTGTTTGGTTTCTCTTTTTCTAGAACCAATTGGTTTCGCTCACATACATGTGAAGCGGAGGCTGGCGGTTTGAGTTGCACTGGTACAGCCCTTCCCAGATGAACTGTGATTTAAGAGAAAAGAGAAGTAAAAGCCTGTCTCCCTGTTAGTCTCTGAAGTGAAGTATATGTGTAATTTATTGTCTTAGGAAATAAAAAGAGAGAGAGAGAGAGAGCCACTGTGAGCTGTGTTTGTCTTGTTGTTGTGAATTGTAGCCTGTAAAACCACACTTTGACAGCGTGACACTGAAAACTCTGCTCAGATCTACTGTCGGATTGTCACTGGGTTGACGTACTGTTCTAGTAGACATCAGACTTTTAACCACTTTTATTGATACTACTGTAAACCATTTGCTGATTGCTTGTGTTTTAATTTATTAATTTATTGTGTGTTTTTGGAGTTGATTATAGTAAAAAAAATAAAAGTTAAAAAAAAAACCATGAAACCGGACAAGGAAACATTCTCTACTACTAACAATGATGTATGCAAAATTGTCTTGTTTTTGTGAAGCAATATGACCAATGCCAGTGTGATGATGACGATGTGGTGGTGATGATGATGGTGAAAATGTGGTACAGTTAACTCGGGATTCATGAGAATACAAGCGTTTGTTATTCATGTATTATGGTAGTTTTAACTGTGGTCATCAAATAAATCAAGAAGTAAAAGATGAACTTGTCCAGCTTAAATGTTGACGCTTTATTTCTCACAACACAGGTTTTTATTTAGTCCTGTCATCCGGACTCAGGTCTGTGCTGTCTGCTGCCCTCTGTTGGTCAGAGAGTGAGCTGGTCATTTAGTTTAAGACAAATCTTCCCCCAAATTGAAAAAAAATGTATACAAAGGAAGCTGGTTCTAGAGTTTAGGGCCCCAGCTGCAAAGTCCCTCTTAGCTAACTTAGCTAACAATTGGCCTAAATATCAGCATTGCAATAATATTATGCTAAATATCGGACAAAAGACGATGGAGAAACAATTAAGCTTTTTGTTAATTAGACAATAGTCTTGTCTCTCTGGCTTGACTCTAATCCCTAATAAATGACAGTAGATAATGTATTATGACATTAAGTTTATCTTTTTATCTTTTGTGACTTTTGAAATGTCAATGTTGTAATCCTCTTCAGGGTCCTAGCAGAGCTGGAGGCCTATCAAAATAAAAGTCTGTGTTATTCTCTTAAAAGGAGATAAGGCCAATAAAAGAGACAGAAAACTTTAGCTCTGCTTTCAAAATAAAAGCAAAATTGATCATGTCGTACAGTTTTTAAATAACAGGTTTTATCATGATAGATGCTTTTCTCTGCCTTATATGTGATGTAAATGATGGTCTTATTTTCCCTGTATATAAAGTCCATCCATTTGGCCCTCTGGTAATGCCTCCATCACTTTGTTGTTTGGGTCCAAAGATGTCACCACAGGAACTCAGAGGGCACCAAGTTGAAACCCAAGATGGCTTCCTAATGAAAATAAATGCAGCCAAGGGCTGTTTTTAAACTGTTTCTGTGACAACTTTGTGGTCTTTGTGTCATTCAGGTTATAAATTCAACATTCTGCCATCAACAAAGAACATACTGGGTGCGTAGCTGGCCGTACTCCAAGGAACAACACAAGAACGGCTTTGTAGGAGGCATCCATCTTGTTTTTTATAAATTGGTAAATGAAACCTGTCCAACTCAGGGTTTACTCTGGGTTTTTTTTTTTTTTCAAAAAAAAAAGAAGAGAAAATTCTGCATTTTGACTGGCTCCTTACATTCTAACATGACAACTACTTCAAAGAAGAGAGACAGTTATACGTACTATGTTGACTCCAGTTAAAGATTCAAAGCTGTTATTTTTTTTTTTTCATTGAATTACGAGGGAGTCTCCATCTCTGTTTTGTGGTTCCTGTACCAGCACCATCCTGCCCATGGGTATGTTGCTGTAGTTTTTGTGGAATTCCCCATAATGTGATGTTTATCAGCTGCAGCGTGGTATTGATTCCACCATTTACAACTGAAACACTTTTTACTTGGTTTTCAAAAATGTTCAAAGACCAATCCACCGTTATAAGCAGAGAGCAGATAGAAATGGGGTGTACATTTTCTTACAGAAATCCAGGTCAAACCAATTTTACGTGTCACACTAAATGGTTAGCTTCCTTGCTAATAGCAAAACAACGTAACCACACTTTCCTCTTAACTCAGTTGATCAGTTGTGCAGTTTTTAGAAAAACATCGTTAACTTCAGGTCACTGTATGTGATTGCAGTGAGTGTGTCATAGTAAATAATAATAAAGTTATTATGTCCGAATGTTCCACTGCCTGCAGGGAGGCTCTTAAAATCTTTGTTGTACAAAATGTACTTGTCAGCAGCCTTCTATTTGATTCTAAAAATCTGTAGTATTACTGCAGCACCCAAATCTGCACACGCACTGTTAAAAATGTCCCAATGTTCTTGCACCTCTATGTAAACTTTATTTGCTGGTCATTTGAAAATATATATATCTTTTGTTATTAAACGTTGGATACGACGGGGTATTAGAAAATAAAAATGAAATAAAATTACGAGATTAAGCTCTTTACCGCTAATTTATTAGAATAATAATTAAAAAAAACTCGCAGTCAACACTTCCCCTTCACACCACCAGAGTGCGCATTTGCGCTCAGCTCGGTCCGCAGCAGTGTCTCATGTCAGAGGAAGAATGTTCGTACAATGAGGTTCCTGTGTGTAGTGGCTCCACTGTTGCCTGTGTGCGCCACACGGACGAGCGATTGTCAATGGACTATTTCAGACGGACCTCAGTCGCTTTCCCTGCCGTTTCTTTGCCTTTCAGCCGCGTCCCTTCTCCTGACTGCTAAGCTTCATCCGGCTCTTTTTACTGGATGGAAGCAGGAAGACGCAGACACACAGTGTAAAGGAGAGAGAAGGAGACAGAAAAAAGGAGTAAATTCCTGACAGAAAAATGCCGTGAGTGTTGAAGTTTAGAACGTTTCTTTCTACATTCCTCTGTTTCTCAGACACCGTCCCTTAGTTTGGACTCGCTGCTGGTCGCCGTAGTCTTAATGGCTGTTTAATGGCACATTGGAGGGAAAGTAGGCAGAAAGAAAATTGGATACAATGAAGTGAGGAGGTCATAATAAATTAAATTAATCTGCGAGCAGAGACCGTGGAGAGGGAGCGCATTCATTCCAGTTGTGGGGAAACCATTACACTGCTAATTACTGTTATTGCTAGAATTAATTGTTATTAATAGAAACAGACGTCGTTACATTGGAGTTTTACTCGGACTTTTAAATCCTCATTAGAAATACAAAAAACGTTTTTTTTTATTTGACTTTTTTTTAGATTTAAAAAGACAATTTATTTGACATACAGCATCAGTTTAATGAGACAATTCAGGACAGTTTGTGCGTTCAGCCTGGTTGCTTTTTAACCACATGGTTCCACCGTCGCCTCCGGACGCATCGTTCCGTTCCATGTTCGTTCTGTGGTCCAGTCTCAACTCCGTGGACCTCCGTCGCTGAATTCACGAGGGCATGGGAGAAGCCACCCCTGCTCAGTCTTCATCCGGACCATTCGTACCCATGTTGGGTGTCGGTTTAGGAACACTCCCTGTCGGGGTCGCCAACGGGCCGGTGGCGGCCACCTCCAGGGCTCCCGCGGTGCCACAGCTCCACAACGCCATCGTGGAGCGTCTGCGCGCCCGGATCGAGCTGTGCAGGAGGCACCACTCTACCTGCGAGAACCGCTACCAGAGAGGTCAGGCTGAGAGTTCTGACCGGGAGCACGAAAGTACGCTTCACCTGCTCAACATAGTCCAACAGGGCACCGGGAACCGGAAGTCCAAGGGGGGCCGGGGAGCGAACCAGCAACCTCCAGAGTACAGCAGATCCAACGGGGAGCAGAAGGGCACAGAGGGGGAGCAGAAGGTCTCCACGCGGATAGCGGTGAGTTTTTACATTTATTTTCTAATAATGTAATATTGAAGATGTGGGGATCGTTTCATAAAATTGTGTGACCACAACCTGAACTGAAAATGTGTGGGGTTTAAATATGATGTAAAATTTGAAGATTAGAACAAATATTTTTATCACACCTTGAATGGCTCTCTAGGTTAAGTTTGGACACATGGAATAAACACTTTCAGGGCTAAAGGTCAAATTGGACCATCTTTGCTTCATGCCAGGTTAGACCATTACAGTCCAACGTACTGCTGTGATGTGACTGGAGAAACCAGTCAACAAAACCAACATAGTAAAGTTGGCAGCAGTTAGGTGACACTACACGACATGGATTTATGGATCTGTTGTTTGAACAAACAGTAACATGAGAAGTAGTTGAATGAGAATTACTGCTGTGTTGTTTAAAAAAATAATAATAAAAATGTAATGGACTCACATCCTGTAGTGTAAACCTGAGCTTTAATTAATTTAAATATTTACATGCAGGAGGTTTTTCTTTTTCTTTTTTGATTTCAAAACAGACTTAAAATCCTTGTTAATATTGTGGCTGATGGCAAGTGACTCTGTTCACTGTAGAAAAAATGAAATGAATAATTGATTAGGGCAGAGAATTATTGATGTGTTTTTGTTCTCCACCTTATTCTCTTTTCACTAAATTGTCTGGTCCAATGTATGTATCTGTAGGCAGATTTGATAAGAAGTTGTTGTTGTCTTAACAAAATATTTTTATAATTATGTTTTTTTATGGTATTTGCAGTGATAGTCCATGTGAATTAGAGTGGGGTTTTTTTGAGTCCCTTACAATGATCTGTGTGATTCACTCGTGGGTCATGACCAACTATTTGAGAAACACTGGTACTGGACAGCTTTCATTAGTCGTCTTTCAGAGTCCAGGCCTTAGGGAGATCATGATCATAGTAATAATGATAATAAAAAGACATCAGTCTTTTTGTGTGTTTTTTTTAAATATGTTAAAGATCTGGTCTGTATTACTGTGAGGTGGAATAATTAATCCAAATTTAAATCAAATATTAAGTATTATTATATATATTAAGTTAAGACCATTAAATCTAGACTAATGCAAAAGAAAAAAAATAAAATATTTTTAAAAAACTACAAGTCATAATACAATATTGTTTGCACAGCATTCCAGTCAGAGGAAATAGTTTTGGGGTCATCGGGTCATGGAGATGTTTTGCATTTGCTGCAAACTTTGTCATCATCTCTGCTCCCTAAACAAAAGGGGCTTTGACACATTTTATAAGAAAGTCGACTGTCATCGTATTTTACACAACACAGATGCAGGTTTTTATTTTAGCTCCCTTCATTTTTAAATGCTGTTTTGAGATATTGAAGAAAATGGCTTAACTTGGTGACTGTTGACTGAAAATACAGGTCAGTGGAGTTTGCATGTTTTCTGCTTGTGCTTATTACAGTGGGCTGGCTTCCTGTAATGAATATATTAAGGCATGGTCAGTTGGATGAGAGATTTATTCTCTTGTTTTCTTCCACTGGGCATTGGGAGTTCAGCATACAGTGTGGACTGTTTTCCGAGCATGGTTTCACTGAATGCCAGAAGGGTGAAAGATTGCAGATGTTCCAGCCCCCAGATTTGCTTGAGATGTCAGACGGAAAAACAAACAATGTAATATTTTTTTTTCCAGTATGGTCACAGAGGCCAGCGCTGACTTTTCTGTCCGATCATTCACTGTCAAGGCACCAACTGCGTCTTTCATACAGCGGCTAAAACCACTCACCGCACCACTCTTCATTGATATAGAGTTCTAATATAAAGTGCAGTTTAGTTTTATAGCCTATGGTATCTTTAGTGTCTGTGCTGCAAGGTAGAGTATGGCTGTAGAACATGATGGGAGGCGGGAGACGACCACAGCCTGCGTTGTAGACACTGTCTTAAAGAGAACGAGGAACATCATTATCATGTACTGTTAGCTTTGTACTGATGTTGACTGGGGAGTAGCGTGTACAAAACTGATGAGTGCAGCAAAATGGTGAAGAGGAAATTAAGTCCTGGCTTACATGTTTATATCAACCCTGAGGTTAATGTTTTTTTTTCTAACTCATGATGATTCTGTGCAGCAGCTGCAGAAATCCCCTTCAGTGCATTGTTACTGGATTTGTCCAGCTGAATCTGTGTACACTGTGTGCAGAGAGCTGGGATTTTATTCAATTAATTTTCAAATGTTTCAAAATACCAGTCAGGTTTTTGAAGATATACTGTATTCCATGTTTCCAATGTGGAAACAGTTGTGATATCTTTATATCTGAGCACATTTCCGATTGCCATACGCCTGTTATATAAACCGCTGACGATTGCTTGTTCAAGCCTTTATTTGAACAACTGTCGTTCTCTTGCTTTGTGTGGTTTGAGGTCTGCCGTCACTTTCATTCATGCAGAACTGCTCTGCAGTTCCTCTGGTCCTTTCCTGGTTTTTACCATGCACCTGTGGTGTCATTATTTTAGGATTAGATAGCTGCAATAGTCTGGTTCTAATGTATTGTGTATGCCACTAGCAAGTAATCTAGTACAAGTGATAGTCAGGTGTTCCATTTATTCTTTTAAACGCATCTGCTCATTAAGATCATGAGCCCTGTGTGGCTTGCTAATTCCAAAAAAAAAAAAAAAAAAAAACAAGAACAGGAAATTACGTTTACTTGAACAAAATAATAAGCCGAGATGCACCTAGAGTGCCATCTACTGGTTCATGAGTATATTACTCCAGACATTCAAAACAATAGAGGAACTTCCTAGTTTGACCTTTAAACATCTTATATTCTAATGCACCTTTAAACCAGAAAGTTATGGACCAATAAATGACCATAGGTCATATCGGTACTGGGATGTAGAAGAAATATAAACCCCATAATATTTGCATGTTACTAAAACATTAGTGCAAACAATGTTTTGTTTATTTTGTATAAAAAAAGCTTATTGACATATGCCAAGATGTGTCAAAAAGAAAGTCTTTGTGCTTAAAAAAAAAGAAAGTTGTATGGCTAGTTTTATTTAAAGTAGCATGAGAATATTTTTTAATTACATTTTAAATGTATGGCCATTAAAACTAAGGTGTTGGTGTTATATTGTTATAATATTTGAACGAAGAAAAACGAGAAATTTGCTGATTTTGTTGCTTTTAAGTCAAATTCTGAGGAGGCGGTGCTCCACCAGGGGTAGTGTCCATGTGGGTGACCAATTTAACAGTCAGCACATGCAAAAGAACATTCTCAACTCTCCACAGCAATATCACTTCCATTGAGGACTAATTCACTCGGGCTTTTGTGATAAACTGTATATTGGGAGCCCTATTTTTCGGTTGATCTAACACAATGGCTGGCTTTTCTCTGATGTCATGTAAACATGTTGCTGTTTTGTGTCCGTTCTACATTTAAAGACAGTGAAACATTTGTCTGTGATATTTCCCGGGGTGCAGCTGTAGATCACCAGTCGACATTCTTCTGAATTGAAAAGTAAGGCTTCCACAATGACCACATCTGTGCATGTTATTGACTGTTCACATTGGAATTTGCGATGGAAATGTACACCAAGCGAGGGGCAAACAACACAATGGATTATGACCGGCTGTGAGTGCAGAGAGAGCAGCAGCTCTTTGAGAACCGATTAACAAAGAATATGCTTTTGAATGAAATTGGAGACATGGGGAGGGAGAGACGTTATTTTCTTTAATCCGTTCATACTTGCATCAGAGTGTTTGTTTGTCACTCAAATATAGGTCACGTTAAACATCTTATATAAATTAGCACTGTGTTACAATGAAGAGAGGTTTCCTTTCATCTGACTGGGATCCAGCGGCCGTATTACAGCGTCTATCAAGTACACAGATAGTGAGACGCCGAAGGCTTAACAAACATCCAGTGAGCCTGCTGCACTCGGCATGCCATGCATTGTCAAGCCTTATTATCATGCATTTAACAAATGGCTCACTAAGCACCTTCCTGAAAGATGTGTTGGCCATGAAAATGTTTGAAGCACAAGGCCCCCATATAAATGTTTAGAGCCACTGAATACATTTCCTGCATGTGTTTACTTAGAGTCAAACAGGCCTTGAAAAAGCAGTAGGCGAGGGATGCCTGGTGATTAACAGTCCTGTGCAGTGTGCACTTGGAAGATTTTGTTATTTCCCAGTCTTGTTCTGGTGACAGATCTGGGAACTGGAATCCAGCAGCAAGCAACCTGCACTCAAAGTGTCCTGTGTTGCTAATGTGTTAGCCTGTTAGTTTTTTCACCTCACTTGTGAATTTATGTTGTACACCGGGCATTGGTTCAGTTTCATTGCTGGAACATGATGCATCATGGTCCAAAGTGTAATGGCACATAAACGTAATGCGTTTTTACCCTCGTATCGTGGCCCCACCTCCCTACACACATGCGCTTGTTTCCCGTCACTCTTGAGTGTGAACTTTCCAGTAGTGTTACTCTGCCAGAATATTCAAGCTTCACATATTTGATGTTCCAGTGCTCCAGTGACCAAAGTCCGGAAACTGTAAATCCCATGTATTTCCCATATTAGGATTAAATTAACCAGTCATGGTACTGCATGTCATATGGTAGAATAGCAGCCTTGAAAAAAGACAGGGAAGCTGTTAAAGACATTAGTGGAAAAGACAGGGAAGCTGTTAAAGACATTGACTTTTAAAGACAAGACTTTGTAGAGTACAAACCCTGAACCGTTCTGTCAGCCACCAATCCAACTTGTTACTGAACAGAACAAGTTAACAGTTAAATAACATCAAGCCTTTAACTACAAACGGTTCTACCTAATGTTCCATGGTATGTCCTAATTGCTTGTTTGATGTCTGGGAGGATGTGTTTATGTTTGCTGTATGCTTATAATCTGTCTCTAATTTGTATATCGCCTCAATAACATCGTTGTTAAATCCTTTTTTTATTAGTGAAGTACTTAATAACTATAATAACAACATACTGTTGTTTTTTTAAGTCTGATTTA